TTTGGACAAGTTTATTGTAGTGTTTATAGATGATATCCTGATATACTCTAAGAATGAGGAAGAACACCGAGAGCATCTTTACATTGCATTGCGAATATTGAGGGATCATCAGTTATATGCTAAGTTAAGCAAGTGCGAGTTCTGGCTTAGAGAAGTGAAGTTCTTAGGCCATGTAGTATCTGCCGAGGGAGTAGCTGTTGATCCTAGCAAGGTTGATGCTGTATTGAAATGGGAAACACCAAAATCTGTGACGGAGGTAAGAAGTTTCGTGGGCTTAGCTGGGTATTACCGAAGATTCATCAAGGGATTTTCTCAGATTGCCATGCCTCTAACTAAGTTGACCAAGAAAGACCAATCATTTATCTGGAGCGAAAAGTGTGAGGCAGCTTTTCAAGAACTGAAGGCTAAGTTGACCACGGCTCCAGTGTTGACTATTCCAGATCCTAGTAAACCATACACCCTTTACACTGATGCTTCACTTAAGGGTTTAGGGTGTGTCCTGATGCAGGAAGGAAAGGTGGTTGCCTATGCATCTAGGCAATTAAGGCCACACGAGGAAAATTATCCTACACATGACCTGGAATTAGCAGCGGTGGTTTTTGCATTGAAGATCTGGAGGCACTACTTATATGGATCACAATTTGAAGTCTTCAGCGATCACAAGAGCCTGAAGTATTTAATAGATAAGAAGGAACTGAATAATAGACAACGTAGGTGGATGGAATTCATCAAGGACTATGACTTTGAGCTTAAGTATCATCCGGGTAAAGCCAATGTGGTTGCAGACGCTTTGAGTAGGAAAACGGTGCATGTGTTTCACATGAGTTTGGAGGAACACTACTGCTTAGAGAGATTGAGAGATCTCCAAGTGGTGCATGAGGCTCCAGCCACTCTACAATCAATTTTGGGTGATTATGAGTTCTTTCGAGACTTGAAGGTTGCACAGATGGAGGATGATCGGTTACTAAGCATCCGAGAGGAAGTGGAGACCCATGGTGTGCCTGATTATGAAATTGGTGAAGAAGGAATCCTAAGGTACAAGAAGAGGATTTGTGTCCCTAATAATGAGGAAATCAAAAGGACTATTCTAGAAGAGGCGCATCGAAGTAATTACACAATACACCCAGGGATAACCAAGATGTACCAGGACTTGAAAAAGAACTACTGGTGGCCAAAAATGAAGAGGGACGTCACAAATTTTGTGCTGAAGTGTCTGACATGTCAAAAGGTCAAGATAGAACATCAGAGACCTCCAGGACTATTAAAGAATCTTGATATTCCCCAATGGAAATGGGATAGTATTTCCATGGATTTCATTACTGGTATGCCAAGAACCCCGGCTGGCTATGATGCGATATGGGTAATTGTAGATAGATTGACTAAGTCAGCGCACTTCCTGCCTATCAAGAGTACTTACTCTTTAGAACGATTGACAAAGCTGTATATAGATGAGATTGTTCGACTTCATGGAGTGCCAGAGTCTATCATTTCAGATAGGGACCCGAGGTTTACATCGAACTTCTGGCAGTCATTACATGAAGCCATGGGCACTAAGCTCAAGTTTAGTACTGCTTATCATCCTCAGACTGATGGACAGACTGAGAGGACGATTCAGACTCTCGAGGACATGTTGAGGGCCTGCGCTATAGAGCTAAAGGGTAGTTGGGACACTCACTTGTCATTAGCTGAGTTTGCCTATAACAACAGCTATCACACTAGTATTCAGATGGCACCATATGAAGCTTTGTACGGGAGGAAATGTAGATCTCCACTTTGTTGGACTGAATTAAGTGAAAGAACAATTATTGGCCCAGATTTAGTGGACATCACAACCAGAAAGATTGAGCTGATCAAGCAGAAGTTGTTGATGGCCCAAAGTCGACAGAAGAGTTATGCAGATCGTCGGAGGAGGCCTTTAGAATTTGAAGTGGGTGATCATGTATTTCTGAAGGTTTCACCGGTCACTGGTGTTGGTAGATCCATCAAAGCCAAGAAGCTTACACCCCGATTTATGGGTCCTTATGAGATTTTAGAGCGGATTGGACCTGTTGCATATCGAATTGCGCTGCCGCCACATCTTTCCAGTTTACACGACGTGTTCCACGTGTCACAGTTGAAAAAGTATCATCCCGATCCGTCTCATGTTATTGAGCCTGAAGAGGTGGAATTGCGAGATAATTTGACCTATCCAACAGAACCAGAGCGGATTTTGGACGTTAAGGACAAACAATTAAGGAACAAAACTATCCGTCTTGTTAAGGTCTTTTGGAAGGGCATGAGTCCCGGTGATGCTACTTGGGAGACAGAGGAACGGATGCGTTATGAGTACCCTTACCTGTTTTCTTAGTAAGCACTTTGACTTACTTTTGTTTTTACTTCTTGTGTGTGGTTGTTTGAATTTTGAGGACAAAATTCTTATTAGGCGGGGAGAATTGTAATATCCTATTAAAAAAATTAAAAAAATTAAAAAAAAAAATAGAGTCAACTTTCCACCAAAAGTTGGTGGAAAGTTGAATGTTACGGTGGAAATTTTGGGAGAGAGTGGAAAATGGGTAGACGTGTGGAAAAATGGATTAGGAAGACTTAGGGGGAGAGAAGGAAGACTTTGGGGAGGAAAAGTAATTGCACGAAGGAAAATGGTAAAGGGTAGTTAGAAGTGCAGCATAAAAGGGAGAGGGGATGCAGAAGTTGGGAGAGAACGCGTGAGAGAGAGAGGGAGGAGAGAAAGAGAGCGAGAGAGAAATAGAAAGAGCGTAGCAGCAGTCCTCGTGAAGGAGAAGGCTAAGCTTTGAAGATATTTTAGGTACATGAAATTATCTCTTTTCATCAAACTTTCTTCATAAATATTTCATATATATTTTATGCTTCCTAATAGTAGTATTATCATAGTGATTAGAGAAAATTTTGAGACTTGTATATGATCTAACTATTGAGTTTTGACAAAAGATGACTATAGAAATTTAGAAGTAAATGAGTTGTTAATTTTAATCGGTTTAGATTTCTCTATTTGCTAGTTTTAGTATTTAAATTAATTTATTTAGTGGAAAATCTGTTATGTATGAGATATACCATATTTTTACCGATTAAATTTAAGTTAAATAATTTATTTGGGTTGTTTGATATATTATTGAGATTTTAATCGGTGTAGTTTTATTTATTGGGTGACGGAAAGTTTTAAAATAATTATTGTAGCTAAAAAGTTTATTATTTATGGAAATATATATATATGGTAGTTATACCATTAAAGTTTTAATTATATTATTTAGTTATAAATATTTGAAGTATTATTGAAATTTTTGATAGTTTGATTTTGAGGTTTAAACTTAAAAAGAGTGTTTTTAGAATTTAGAACATAATAATTTTATATTTAGAAATTGTTGAAAATCCTTTTTATTAAGGTAAATAATTTGGAGGTGGTAAATAATAATTTGGGGTTGTTAGAAATTTTAAGTTGTTTTTAAAATACTTAATAATTTTTGAGTTATGAGAGTTGCAGGAATTTAGAGTAAAAAAAAAATTTAAATAATATAGAGAAGTTTAATTAATTAATTTATTAGTTTATATTAATATGTGGTTATATTAATTGTGTAGATTAATTATTGGTTGAGCAAAGGATTGACCTTGTGGTAATCCTTAGTATTGCTTTGGCGAGAGGTAACCACTTTCCACTTGTTATATGTGCTAATATGTTGTTTGTGAGTATTTTGCTGTTTTTAGAATAATATTTGATATTTGGAACTTGAATAGATATGTTATATCTTTTGAGCTATGAAAATTGTCTTGTGGGATTTTTGGAATTGTGATTGAGAAGTTTGGAAAAGATATATGATTTATATCTTATGGATTATACTGGGAAAATATTGAGACATTTTTGTTATATTGTGAATGGTTGGTTGTTATTTGGATTTTGGATTGAGCGCTATCCTACCACGTGGTAAGGCCGCCATTGGTGCACATTGGTGGCTTCTTCCTTCGTCCCTAGAGTAAGGGATAGACCTTTGTGGCTTTTTATTCGTCCCCCAAAGAGTGGGATAGGCCTATAATAAGGGATGGACCTTTGTGACTACTTAATCGTCCCCCAAAGTGTGGGATAGGCCTATAGGTCGATTTGATCCCCTATAGTGAGGGATAGACTTATGTGGCTTGTGTGTTAACCCCCGTAATGAGGGTTTGGATGATTGAGATTATTTGAATATACATATTTGTATTTGTCATCGATATATATATTGAGATTTCATAACTGTCCCACTTGACACCTCACGAGCACGTGTTAGTATGTATGATGAGTTGGAAAGTTGGTTACTGAGGCGTTTGTCTCACCCCGTGGTTTAACATTTTCAGGCGATAGTTCAGGTGGTGGCCCATCAGGAAAGGCTCCGGAGGCATAGTGTGCTGTTATAGCTTGTATAGCCTCCCTGCTTTTGTTCTATGTGCTGACTTGTTATATATTGCCACATAGGGCTCATCTACTATCATGATGTAAAATAATACTTTTAATTACTACTATCTGGTATGATAGGGCGTGAGGAGGCCCGAGACATTCTAGACTCTACGTGTAACGCTCCTTTGAAAGTGTTGACTTTTGACTAATGAGCTCTATAGTTTATATTAAACTGATTTATCAGTTCGTATGGTTGAAAATATAAGATTGGTTTGGGCTAATGGTTGAATGATATTTCTGGACTTTGGAAGTCCAAGGCCAAAGGTAACAATCGATGTTACTCTTATTATAAGTTTATTTCTTTTAACCATGATAGCGATTTTAAAATTTTAAGTTTTCTTCTTTTCTATCATGGTTAATCATTCAAATAAATTGTTGGATTTAATCTAAAATGGTTTTGAAAGAGCGGTTGTCACAGAGAACCTTGAAAGCTTCAGTGAAAGAGGGATCTTGGACTGATTAAATTGCTATTGACATGTACAGTAGCTAGGAACAGAGAAATGATCACTTGATCACCAGAGGAGGGTCACAAGATTCGGACTCCAATTGCATTGAACGAATGGATGGAGATGAGACAAACCGATGTGCCCTAGGCTTGAACAATGAACTGGTGAGAGATGAGGAAAGAAGATACTCGGATGGATCAATGAATATGGGCTGGCTCTGCCTTTCGTAAGTAAAGATTTCAACAGACTGTGGTCAAGATTTATCCTAATGGCCGACCATGATAAAAAATCTTAGGAACTTGACTTCCAACACCCTCTTTACCTGCATCCTGCTGATATACAAGCCAACACTCTTGTTCCTCAAGTTCTCCGTGGCTCTAACAATTACTCTGTTTGGAGTCGAGCCATGGAATTGGCACTTCTTGGAAAGAATAAATTAGGATTCGTTTTAGGGACATGCACTCGTGAAAAACAACATTCCCACCTCCAAGATCAGTGGGATCATTGCAATGCTGTAGTGCCCTCCTGGGTCATCAATTTTGTGGATGCTCAAATCACTAGTGGCCTAGTCCTTTCTTCAAATGCACACTTGGTTTGGGTAGACCTTAAGGAAAGATTTGTTGCAGTTGATGGTGCAAAATTTTTTTCATTATGTCGTTCAATTAATTCTCTTACACAAGGCACCTTATCTGTATCTGCCTACTACACTAAGCTGAAAGAATTGTGGGGTGAGCAAGCAACAATGGTCCCTATTCCTAACTGTTCCTGTCACTCTTCTAAGGAATATGTTGAGAGTATTCAGGAGTAACGACTTTTCCAATTTCTTATGGGGCTAAATGAGGCTTTTCATCAAGTTCGCAGTCAGATCCTATTAATGAAGCCCTTGCCATCTCGTAATCAAGCATATTCTATGGCTGTTTAGGAGGAAACACAACGTCAACTATCATTTGGGGCATCAAACTCTTCTTCATAGAGCTCCATCTTAGCCTCTAATACAATAAGGGGAGGTAGAGGACGTGGTAGAGGAAGATCACAGGAAGAATGTAGTTACTGCCATAGAAAGGGGTATTAGAGAGAGAGCTATTATTAGCTCATTGGGTTTCCACCCAGTTTTGGTTCAAACAGAGCCCAAAAGAACCCTGAAAATCAAGCAAATCCAGCTATAAATGATTCTGGGAAGACAACTAACAATCATGAAGTTCCAAGCTCTCAGACTTCCTGGTTTACACCTGATCAATACAAGAAAATATTGGGACTGCTCGATCGTGATTTAGATCCAAATGAAGCTGCTGTGAGCATCCAAGCTACAACACCAGGTTTGGCAGTAAACTTAGACTATGAATGAATCTTAGATTCTGGTGTTAGTTGTCATATAGTCTGTAGTCTGTCATATTTAGACAAATATACACTTTATATTGGTCTCCCTAAATGGGTCAAGGTCCCAAGTGGAGAAAGAATTTGCATAACTCATATAGGGGAAGTTAGAATTACAAAAGATATTTTTCTGCAAAACGTTTTCTATGCAAAGCCATTCTGTTACAACCTAGGGTGTGTTTGGATGAAACCAAACCGTGGTTTGGAAAAGTGATTCTAGAGAATAGATTCTGTGGAGAATAGATTCTGAGAAAAAGTGATTCTGAGAAGTGAGAGTGTTTGGATAGTTATTACCAGAAGTGCTTTTTACATATGGAAATTACCAAAAAGGGTATAAGTTAATATGATAATTATATAAGGGATAGATTTTATGATTTATTTTGATTTGAAGAAAAAAATTGTTAATGAAATAATTTTTACTAACATAATTAATAATATATAAGATAATATAATTAATACATAATTAATATGTGTACATATATTTATAAAACATAATATTAAATATGTTTATAGAAAAATGATTTTTTTATAACAGAAAAATATTAATTTTGTTTAAAGATTATAAACGTGAAATCCCATAACATTTTTTCACAACTACTTTTTGTAATAACATACTACATGTATAATAACCTCTGATGTTTAATACAATTAATTAATTAATTGTCACCACACATATATATTCATAAAATATAAGAGTGAAAAATATTTTTAGAGAAGCTGAATTATTTTGTTGCAAACAGAAAGTCATGTATTTTTCATGAAGATTATAAACATAAAATGGGATGATATTGTTTGATAAAATAGAATAAACACGTCTTAAAATAATTTATTAATTATTCAAGTAAGTAATAATTAGCTTGAGAATATAAGGTATAATATTAATAAGAGAAATATAAATAAAGAAGTGTCATAATGTAAGATGATGCATCGATACAAAGCATTTGTAATAGGTTTTGTTTTTAACTACATATTACAATCTATGATAAAAGGAAATAAATAAGACATGACTACTATCCTTGTATTGAATTAACAAGTTCATCTCTTATGCTGTCACGAACCTGAGCCATGTAAGATGAAGATTGAATTGATGAATGTATACGTGAAAATCTAACCCCATCATCATCATCTTCTGCATAAGTACCTTCTTCTTCCAATTGAACGAATCTAGGATCAGTAATAGATGTCGTTCTAATAAAATTATGTATAGCCATCGTTGCACAAACGATTTTAACTTGTGTTTCAAAATCATAGGATGGCATGTTTTGTAAGATTGCGAACTTTTTTTTCCAAACTCCGAAAGTTCTTTCAATTGTACTCCTTAAACTTGAATGGAAATAATTAAAGATCTCATTGTCATTTTCAAACCCAGATGTCCTTCGAAAATCAGGCAAATGGTAACGCTCCGTCTGTATGGGCCGAGATATCCATTCGGTGTTGGGTATCCAGCATCCACCAAATAATATTTTCCTATATAAAAAATAAAATTATTGTAAATTATGTTTCTATTGTTAAGCTAAATATAAAAAAAAAATGTAGGAAATAAAAAAATACCTTCAAGTGGATGGGGAAAGTTCATTGAAGGAGTTGTGAGGGCATGATCAAATATCCGAGCATCATGTGCGCTACCTTCCCATCCGGCCAAGACAAAAGTAAAACACATGTCCCAATCACAAACCGCCATGACATTTTGTGACACTGTTCCTTTCCTAGAGATAAATTTAGTTTGATCTGTTACACTGACAACGCAGGAAACATGTGTGCCATCAATTGCTCCAATAGCATGTTTAAAAAAAGGCCAGTATTTACCAAACCGAATTTTTGTATGAACATGTCGGAATGCTGGATCTTTTGGTTTGATATTAGACATGGCAAGTCTATAGCATGCCATTAGGACATTATGAAAATGTCTGCTAATTGTCTCCCCTGAATGTTGAAATCTTTCTTGTTGCATTCTGCTACTAGGTGCATGGCCAACGGTATGTAAAAACATTGCAACTGATTCATGTAACCCTATATTTTTAGTTTCTTTTAGACCATGTTGTTGCAATTGTTCCACCAGACTTAAGAACACATCCCGTTCCATCCTAAACATGTTATAGCAACGACTGGGGTTGCCATGTAAAACATCCCTTACCCATAAGCTACCTGTATAAACACTTGTATGCCGAGGCTCCTTACACAAGTTCAAAGTAGCGTATGCACCAACCAATGCTGCAACTTTGTTAACCCTTTTTTTCGTCCCTTAGCATGCTTTCCACATGTTTAATTTCATCATCCATATTCGTTTTATCCTGTGCACATACACATAAAGTTTAGAATTCCTACATAGAAATTACGAAACATTTATAAAAGTTACAGAGTTGTTTGATTCATATAACAACCCACTAGTCACATAAAACGATACACATATGCAACTGTCTAATATAATAAACAAGTCATAAATCCCTAGTGTAAAACTCCAAAATAGGTAGAAGTTGTTCCTTCTGATCCTTCAGAGCTGCATACATTTCTCGTGCATCCGGCCGTTCCATAAGGAGTTGTGTGCACCGTCTAAAGAAATCAGGATCACTGACAACTTCAGGAACTGTTTTCAGGTGAGATAGGACTCCCCTAATTGAAATCTCATAAGCACGCACTTCTTCTTCCAACCTTCTAGCTTCTGCTCATGAAATGACCTCATTTCCATGCTCGGCCTCAGAAATATTTGTTTCAGCAATCTTGCTAAGTGCATCCGCTATTTTCATAGAGGGAGATGTGCGTTTCTTCTTGACTTCACTCTTCCTTCTGACCCCTAGTGAGCTACTAGGTTGACTCCTACCTCTGCTTGTACCCCCACCACTGGTATCCTGCCTCAATTCAGTGTTGCCTCCACTACCTCCACATCATTGAAGTTCATCAAATTCCCCACTTATACCAGTTGGTGCGCCTAAAATTTCATCACTATCTCCGGACCCTTCTTCCAAATCTTCATTCGGTGTTCCTTCACTTGGAAGTGTCATGGAAGAAGGTGCCCATGCTTGTGGTCCAGTTGCAGCCACACTCCCAAATAGTTGAGTTAATTGATCCCTAAATTGAAGTCCTCTTTCTCTGAATTTTTCGTAGTTTGGAACTTCCTGCACATTAGACACCAATAATATCATAAAATATTCCAAAAACAATAAATATACACAAAACATTAACAAGTAGAGAAAATGTAAGATCAAAAGGTTCAATAATTACCTTTATTTTTCTCTCCCACCAATCATCAGTTGCACTGACAGTATTCCTTTCAGTATCCCATCCCAATCCTGTCTCACGAAGCAGCCTATCCCATGTCTGCCACTCCTTTCGTAGGGAATCATATTTATTCTTAAATTGAGCTTTTTCATACACTCTTCCAGTTTTGGCAGTAAAGTTATCACCAAGAATATCCCAAGCTTTCTTTGTTAAGCTAGTACCTTTTCTTTCCCCTTGTTGCACAAGTTCAATGCAGAGGTCAATAAACACTTTTGTGGTTCGTAGGTCCCAGGAAGCTTTCACCGTATTCTTACCTAGAGCCGGGAAAACGGGCCGAGCCCATCGGGCCGGCCCGTTTAGGCCCTGAAATTACGAGGGCCGGGCTTGATATTTTTCTCTTAAAATGAGAAACAAGCCCTGGAGGGTTGGCCCTGGAGGGCCGAGGGCTTAAAAGGGCCGGCTCGCGAGGGCCGCGGGCCGGCCCTTTTAAGCCCTTTTATATATTTTTTTTATTTTTAAAATTTTTTATATAATATTAATGTTATTAATTTTTTATATTGTTGATAATATTTCAAATATTTAGTTATTATTATCATTTTAAAATTAAATTTAGTTTTAGACAATAATTTATCCACTTAAATTTTTAAAAAATCGGTTAATTTGGACTTTAATAATGATTTGATTTATATTATATGCGTTGATATTTTTAAATTATATATATTTGATAATAGAATATTTTTATACTTATATAACTTGTGATTCTATAATTTGAATTAGAAATTCATGAGTTTCAACAACAATTTTCTCACATTAAAGTAAAATAATAGTTAGATTGCAAAATTCAAAATAAAATTCTTATAAAGAAGAAAAACTTGATATTTTTGTTACGAAAAAAAGCATACTTATGAAGAAAAGTAATTAATTATAGTGATGATGAAGTTTCAAAAGATTAATGATAGTGTTTATTTATTGCACAATTGCATTATAGATAAAACTTTTAGATGTTGTTATCTTGTTAATGAATGTTTTAGATGTTCTTAGATGTTGATGAATATTTATATATGATGATTTTATATTTGTGACTTAATTTTATTCATATTTATGTCTTTTATTAATAATTTCATTGGTTTATTTTTATATTTTTATAAAAAAATTTGATAAATATAAAAAAATAGTATTTTTCCTTAAACGGGCCAAAAGCCCGCGGGCCGGCCCTAGCCCTGTAGCTTAAGGGCCGGGCTTAGCAAATTGGGGTATTTTTAAAATTTCAGCCCTGGAGGGCCGGCCCTTTTAAACCCGCCAGCCCTGAAGGGCCGGCCCTGGAGGGCCGGGCAGGCCCTGATTCCCGGCTCTATTCTTACCCATTATGCTATAGCACAATTATAGCTCTTCAGTCATCACAGGTTAATCAACTCAAAATCAATTGAAATAACAAAAATCATATTGTCTACTGTAATAGGTGAAAAAATTGATCACATTTTAAATCTCAATTCCTTCCTACCAAACCAAGTGTGACAAAAATTAACAAACACAAGAAAATTCTAATTTTACATGGTTGGAAAAAATACACCCCCCTTTCTAAACTTCATTATCTGTTTTTACTTCAAAATACTAAAACTTTTAAAACGTCCAAAATAACATGTTAATTAAATATACTTTTTTTTCTTAACTATTGTAGAAAGACGATCGGAGGCCAAAGTAATAAGAATAACCATATTTGAACTATCATGCACTATAAATCATCTCGTAAACCTT